GATTCATCTAAACTAAGATAAGAACGATGAATAAGTATACAAAATTGAAACAATGAAAATTTCAAAAGTAGAAATAATTAAAATTATGGAAATAAAATTATGGTCATGTATATGAATTCAGGAAAAATTTTAACTTTTAGTGCTGTATTTTTGGGATCTGATTTTTACTATTCAAGCATAATATCATCATAAAAGTAGCATTTACGTCTACATAGACTTTTCTAAGTGCCGTTTGTGCAATATTTAGCTTATTGTAGCCCTGAGAAAGCAAAATAAGCTATAATGCCGTGTGCACGCTTAAGAATACAATTGCGAGATTTTGCTGTGTCACTACATAAATGGGTTGTATGATTAAGATGAAACTAAGTGCTAACTCGATAAACTCTGGATTGATTTGATCTTGTAGTAGTTAGTATCAATACGATAATGAAATGATAGCAGTTACAGTGCACAAATATCTTCATTTTCAGGCTAGCTAACGTAGATTTCTGGAGACAGAAAGCTAAACCAGGATGTAGTATTTAACAATTATCACTAGTTAATATGTTGTCTAGTAGTCTGTTGATGTTACTCCTGTCATTTTAATTTGGCCTGATCAATTCTTCGGAATACTTACACTCGTTATGTTATAAAATTGACATTACAGTCTACTTACAATTGAGTTACGGTGAAGAAAATAGATTTTTTCAGTTCATTTTCATTTAATAATAAAAAGCAATAGCAAAATGTTCTATTACATTTTCTATTAGTTATGCAAGTTGAATTTCAAATCAAATTCATTACATAAATTATAAATCGATCATTTAGCATATTTAAAGGCGATCGTTGGCGTTAATTGATCAAATACTGAAGTTCGCTTCTGAAGAAAGCATTTGCCTTACCTATAATATATCTTTAAAATCCTTGGTGAGATCCACTACAGTTTTTGCAGAAACTTTTTTGATCTTTAATTGAGCAAATAATCTAAAATTTTTTTGGACATACAATACAATCTACCGTTACTTATCTATGTATCCTATAAATTATATGTCTTGTCAGGAAATGATCTCGTTCCATCAGATATTTCTATAATAAAATGCCTAGCATTAAATCTTTCAGTATATAACATATACATATATATATACAGAACGTAATGCGAGATTAACGTTAGTGATTGAATTCAGGGCAACGATAACAATTGATCATTGCATAAAGTTTATAAAACTGTTCAGACAATAGCAGTCTATGTTTTTTCCTTGACTCCTATGTTCTAGAGCTCGCTTACATTGAAATGAAAGGCAATTAAACTCGCAATATACTGTTGCGGCAAGAAAATTCAGGCCAATAATCAAATTTCGAATTTTATCTGAGAAATTGTATCGAGACAAAACTGATATTTAAGTAACGTTACTATGGTTATTAGTTACAAAGTTCTTTCTTTCCTCAATCTAAGCTATTATTATCTAAACTCTATGATTTTTGTCGATACTATGCCTACCAGTGTAATTGTAACATTCTGTATGATACTTTTAGTATCGCTAATTATAAAAATTATAACTTAGATTAGTTTCTGATATGCATTTAATTACAGTTATGTTCTAGCATAGTGTATTTTAATACTTGAAGGCTGCATATGCATATGGTGATATTGATTATTATTGCTAAACATAAACAGAACTATTATTGATATATTTCGATATTATAATATACGGTAAGATATGTATTATGCTATGACTCTGGAATACTACTTTGGACGAGAGATTTATAAAAAATAGGATGATGTATTAGGAACTGTTTAAATATGAACTAATGAACTCTTAAATAAGGATATGAGACAATCACAACCAAAATAACTTATTTATGTATGGAAGATTTCCTATATAACCAGGATCTATTCTTGTAATAAATTTACTATTGTGGCTGATGAAAATAATTCTAGATTAATTTTATGCCTAAGCTTCAAGGCAATTACTGAACTGTATTGCAAAGTCCTCTTTTCGTTAAGTTTGATTGTGACACCTATAAAAATTAAAGGACTACTACAATCTACTCATAATTAATGTACGTGATTCGTAATTTTCTTTTGGTTATGTAACTTATATGAAAACTGCTTGTTTGCGTAATAAAAATACCGATAGGATGTCTATTTCATACGTGTTGCTCTGCAGTATAGATTAGATATGTGTCCAGTAATTTTCCTAGATATGAGGTTTTGTAGATTATCCTTTCTTGGCAGTTACTCTCATTCGCTATTTGCAACTTTTATACATCTTATAAACTAGATAAATTTAAAATAGGAAATAGTCTGAGCTAATAATTATCGATTTTTAAGTTATATTTTAGCCTTTTGTCCGCTTAATATAATGATTTTTTGTCTAGATTTTGCGATCTTTTTTAAACAATAGAGAAAGTAAGAAACGTTTTTTAAAGCATTCTAATTAATATAATAAGTAACCCAGGGAAAGGGTCAGAATATCATTATTCTACGGCTACAGTAAATATTTCAGAAAGTATTTGAAAGTGGCATAGATAATGTTGTAATCAATTAGAATGTCATGGATGCATTTTATACAATAAATCGCCAAAAATCGTAGGACATTATCAGCATGTACTACGAACTATAGACGCCTAGACATAATTACTATTTAATCATCATTATGAAGAAAATTAATAATACTTGATACTTTTATTACTATAATATTTACAAAATAGCCGTATAATCTATATCGTTTCAAAGTGTAATCAATTCGTTACTTATTCATATGCAGATGCCTTAAAGTAATATTTCGTATAGATTTTATAATAGAAAGTCATAAATTTATAGCGGTGTAAATTAGTGACGCTCATGTTAAATTATCTTAATTGTTAGGTAATTCAATTTTATCCTAATATTAAATAGTACTGAAATGTTAACTAGTCGTCATCTTGCTGGAAAATAATAATTTAATGTATCATATTTGTGTTACGCTATAAAAGCTGCAAATAGTAGCTATTCCTGGTACTTTTACTCTTTGGGTATCATAGAATTGGCATTGCTGTGTCCCGGAGTAATTTTCACGTCATAATCCTAGCATGCTCATACATATTAGATGGCTTACTTTGAATCATTGATGAATATCTTATCTATGATACTTGAATGTTTGTGCAGGAAAAAAAAAACATTTATAATAATATCTTCTAAATAATGACAATTAATTGGTATGCTGCGTTCGTAATTTCAATTTCCTTGCTTCAAATCTCGATTTGTAACGAGTAGTAAATGCAGGTAATTCATAATTCTGCTCCTTATTAGCTATGATAGTAATGATATTAATATTAGGTAATAGCTTCTATGCAAAAGATGCTTGCAGAAATGACACTAAAGTTGTTTATTATAAAATTTTGTCCGCACGACTATACTTTATTGTAGATTAGAAATATGATTTATCAAAAATCAGATCAACAATACAATCGTGAGATGTTGTAAATAAACATGCCTATTTATATTGACTCTTTGCTAACTAGAAGTTTACTTTACTTTTATTGTAAGGAATAGGGAAAAAGTAAGTTTCTATGGCAGTGGAACTCAATGTGATGAATATTGCAAACTGGTGTAAAAAATTATGTCTTATTAGAACCCTATCAGTAATAGATTCTTTAAAATATTCCAAAGAAACCATTCTTACTCGTAGGCTATCTCTAGCACTAATCACTATTAACTTTAATGCACTATACAGGCATTTAGTTTAAGTCTACGTTTGATCCCTTTTATACAAAGATTACGAATGCCCATAATATTAATGATGGAAAGTGATTACACTGTATCAAAAAATCAATAGCAAGGCACATATACGCTAGATCAAGGGTATCATATCATATCAAGCGGCATTAATTGCTGTATGCCGTAAAGTTCATGTAGTTTTATCAGTTTAATGCACATAATTTAGGTTTTTTTGTCATTGATTTGAAGTCATGAGAGCTGACTTTATAATAATGCCAGTAGCGCCACAATTAGGAATATTTGAGTATGTGCTGAAAGGGTATGACATCTATTACTATATATAGCTACCATAAGCTGTAGTCTGTTATGCAGATTTTTAATATCAAAATAAGGTCCTATATCGCGTAAGTAAAGGACTAAAGCTGTCCTATTGAGTTTTACTGGGTATTATGAGTGCATTTAAATGATATTCCACGAAAACGTCGTACGATTCCGTGAGTATTATACTATTTCGAAAGTTGGTAAAATTTTTACAATTAGATCAATTGTTACCAGCGATAGAAATATTAACTCATCGCTATAAGTTCGATTCCAGGATCTAATTGTGATTAGGAGAAAAATTGTTATAGAATTAAGTAAATAGAAGAATTAAAATAGTATCTTATGTATTAATAGACCTATATTACGGACAGCAATTTAAATCGATTTTACCTTATACAATAAAGCTAAAATTATTATAGATATAGGCAATGTCTTGAAGTGTTGAGAATTTAATAGAGATAGGATAATGTTTGATCAAAATGCTTATCAGTCAAAATTTAAAATATGTGTAGTGTTACATAAAAAATTGCAATAGCGTTTAAATGCTCCTATTCTAAGTTGGTTTTCCGAATTTAAAATAATACATAACAAATCGGTTTTGTCAGTTTATAAATTAGATTTACTTAAATTCTTGATGATATAGGAACGATTTAAATTACATTAATAGACCGCTATATCAAAGTATAATAATGGCAAGGTTAATTTTAGCTTCAATTTTAACATCGATGCGGCACTACCTATGACAGAATAGCGGATTTAGATTCTATGTGAGCATTGATTAGTAAGGCTGTTTACTTTAGCATTAATTTTGAGCTATACAGGCTTCAGCTAATGTTAACTATTATTATTAATAAATCATTTAGATACAACATTTTTCTTCATATTGTTATAAATGAAAAAAATTGCTAATATAAACTATAATAACCTGATCCATGTATATCTTCTAGGTAGATGACGATAATATCGACGATAGGAAAATTTGATTAGGTTGAAATATAAACTAAGACTGACGATCTTCTAACATATTATTTTGATTACCAACATTTAAAAAGTAGCAAGTATCACCAGGTTGAGTTGGGAAATCTTTCGGTAAGCAATCAGGTGTTCGCTTTTCGAAGGTAAATTCATTACTGCTATGTACAAGCCTGTTGGATAGATATCAAAGTGAATAATAATTATATAATTAATATGTCCTAATGTAGCAGTATGGGTGATCCAACAGTCAAACGATGATTATTTAGTTCATTCATTAATTAAAGCAGAGGAAACTATAGCAATGATATTCTTTCATTAACTACCAAAAGATTAGAAGTTAGTAAACTTACTTGTATGTAGTTGGACTAACATTGATCCTTCCAGCCAGACTACATGCTTCCATTTTATTAGCCAATCTTACGTTATTACCAAATAAGCAGTAGCGTGGCATTTTGTATCCAACAATACCGGCCACAACACTGCCAGTATGAATTCCGATTCTCATCTAAAATGTATTAAAGCGGAGCGTTAAATAGCAATCAATGCATGCAAATTACAGCACTCAAATAACGCATACTTTAATAATTTGACCATCATGGGATTTTTCAGTTTGTGAAACAAGAAGCATACCAATGGACATGTAGCAAACATCATGAGCATGGCGATTACTTTTTTGTTCTAGACCTCCAGCAACGACATAAGCATCTCCGATAGTTTCCACCTAAAATGAGCGGTAAGCAAATTGCAAAGGATACGGTAAGAGCGACTGCATATTTACCGATAGGTTTTGAAAAAAATTTTAAGTACGAAATTGGATACCCTAATAACATTGCTAGTTTTGTAGTTTAACGGACTGCATTAAAAACGAATTCCAATTTATCCAAGGTTGCTTATAATACTGTTAATTATGGAGGTTAATCAGCTTTGGTATAGATAAAAAGCTAATCAGTTTTCTTCTACTGACCGATTTGACTACGCAATTCATTTTAGTAATATTCGATGTACGAAATTGCGAATACATACGTACTATCGGGATTGTAAATTAGTCTTTTAGGGTAATTTAAATTATTATCCCTCCAGTAGCATATACTCTTATGTTGTCTATGGAACCTTAATGAATTCGGATAAATCAATAAGGTCTATTAGGCAGAAAAATAAGTATGTCAGATTTCATCAATTTTCCTTTAGATTACTTCATAATTATATAGCAGGTGTAAAGTATTGTGACCATCTGTAAGGATGCAAGTTATGCGAAAATAAAGCTTAATTTGGATTAAGTTAACTATGTAATCTGCCCAAGTAAAGCCTTTATAATTAATTCCGTATAAATCAAGGCAATACGGTTAAAAAATCGAATACCTAAGTTGTTATCAATCCTGTGGTATGCGGATTATGTATAGAAGCGTTACCGATTGTAGACACACGCAATTAGTAAGCAAATATAAAGTAAATAGGGCTACCTGATTCGAATCAATATGGTTAAGATTATGAGATGTAAAGAATAATTTAAGTGAGCGACATTCTTATTGCCGCTATAGAACTAATCTTACTAATTTTGGCATTTTGGAACGACTAAAGGCAAACAGAAGCAAATCGGTAAACTAGCGTTACCAAGAGTCAGTTGTTTAATTACAATCTACATTTACTGATTCTTTCTAAGTATAATCGATACGCCTAATTTCATAAATATCAATATAGGTAAAATCATCTTAAGGCAAACTAGTAATCTAGCGTTATCTACAGTCAGTTGTCAATTATTAACCCATGCTAACTATAAACAGGATACCCGATTCCATAAATATCAACGTAGATAAAAGTATCTTAAAGGCATATTTATAAACTAGCATCTTTCCAACTATAATCAGCATGCCTAAATCCATAAATATCAACGTAGTTGAAATTTTCTTAAGGCATATTTGTAAGCTAGAGTTATACACAGATAGCTATCTAAATATATCGTTAACCGTTTGGAACTATAATCGGCACGACTGATTCCTTGAATGAGCATATAGGTAAAACCATCTTACCTTGTAAACGTTTAATTTGGCACTAAGATCATCAAATTTTGTATATAGCCGATTTAACATTTCTACCACGACAAAGGGCTCACATGTGGAACAAATTGCTGTAAAACCAACAATGTCACTAAATAAAACGGTGACATTATCAACACGACGACATAGCTGTTCTAATGGATATTTTCTTTTCCATAATTTCATTGCAATATCTTTGGGAAAGATAGTATTCAGTAAATCGACATTTTTAGTTTTTTCTTGGCGTAGCTCTTTACTGGCTTGCTCTAACTTGGCTTTTACTTTTTGCATTCGCGTAACTAAATCTTCTTGTACTTTAGCTTGTTCACCAACAAGAATAACATCGCGTGTAGCATCATGAACGGGTATATCACTTAAATATAAGCCTCTACCTTTTAATTCTTCTAATGCACTAACACATGGTGAGCCAACATAGAGTATACAGTCCGATTCCGAGGCATAAATCATTTGTCCGCGTAGTTGGATCGCTTTACCGCGCAATTGGCTAACTGTTTCTAAGGTAAAGCGCGAGTTGCAATAGGATAAAATATGATCGAATGTTGGCTCAACTTTAGGGCTAACCATTTTTAAGCAGTCGGAAAAATAACGTGTTTCATAGCTAATAGTACTACCTAAAAAGATATCGATATCGGGTAATTCACTAGGTAAAAATCGGACTAAACCTGCACCAACTTGAATTAATACCATGTCACGATTAATGATAAAATGGAAAGGAAATGCTTTACAAAATGTAGCAGGTAATATTTTTAAATCTTTAGGTGATGTTGATGAACTTGGAGCTTGTGATGCTCTCCTTAAAGAATTATTTTTATAATGGATGCGATAGTACTGACACTTATAGTCTTCATGGGGAGTAGTCGCTTCTAAAACATCAATACTGACGGGTTGGCCGAAAACGACTTCGGCAACAGCTTTCACGATACCAACGGTAAAGTAAGACCAACCATGGCGTTGATGATAACTTTCTAACAAGATACTGTCTGGATTTTCAACGTTACAAATAAATGATGGTGGTAAAATATTGGTAAACTTTTTAGAGCAATTTAAATGATCATGCAAACAATCAAAATTGATTAAAAAGTCGGATAAGGTAAAGCCAATTGAGTGTAATACACGTTGATACTTGACATCGTTATGACATTCTTGGATAAAATGATATCCAAATTCTTCCATTAATTTATCCCATTCTAGATCTTTTTTCGATAGTAATACCAACAGGTAGAGATCCATACAACAAGATAAAGTAGAAATGAACCATAACTAATGAATAAACTATTTTGAACATAATCATTGTGCCTCAAAGGATAGAGTTTCAAATGGTTACTTTATCATTGCAAAAGGAAACTGTTCGGTAATGAATTACTACAAAATCGGCTTGAGACAGTTATCGTAGAAAGATATAATTTAAATAACTGATCTATCCTACATCTTAAAACCACATAGGTTACACTTAAAAAATATAATATCAATTAAGGTAAAACATAATAATTAATTAAGATATTGAATAAAGTAAGGCAGTCATTTTGATTTACCTAGTGGTTAGCTCGCTAATTTGACTCATTCTTCTATAATAAGTATATTACGTACAATAAAGCAGTCATTTGGATTTACCTAGTTGCTGGTTAGCTATTTTGATTAAATTTTCAATAAATAAGAATTCTTTTTCGTTATCTGCTTCAGAATTGGGATTCTCACCCTCTTGATGGTTAGTGATATTTTGCCTAAATGATGAAATCAATTTCGTCAATAATTTAAATTGATCTATCGGATTGGTAGCATAGAGAGAAACTTTACGAACTATATCGAAGCAATAAATCACTTTTAAACTTACTGTATTTCATTCCATGTTTCAGCGCAATGCTTTTCAATAACAGCTTGTAAAGCTTGATCTAATATCGACATCTAAATAAAGCAGAATTAAAATCATGTTTAATTTATCATGTTATTGGTGAAGTTTAGCAACACTAAACTTTCGAAATAATTTTCTGTAACCTAGTTTCGTTTAATGATATCAATAATGTGCTACCTTTTTTGCTCTGTGTAGAGCTTAACTAAATGGCCAAAAGGTGCAGAAACTATCAATAGAACAGTAATACACCCTGGCTTAACTGCTTTGCCATAATTTAAGAAAGAAACAACGTATTCTAATAAAATTAGCTTTATGACTCGACATGTTAAATTTCTAGTTAATAAAACAGAAAATGAAAGATGGATAGCTATAATTTTCCATTTATCCCAATATAATGATATTTTTTGTTGATATTGGCAATTTTACATCGTTCTATTCGATATCCGACCTTCTTAAGCTTACTCATAAAAGTAGGATAATGATGGAATACGAGCATACAGTAAGAAGCTTGTAGAACAAAAAATGGATACTGATATTAATTGTTTGATTATGATTATTCTACAGCTGCAATATTAGTATTTCAGAACACGCTCATATAACAGAAACTAAGGCATTAAAGCAATCAGTATTGCCTGAGTCATGATATCCCATAATATTCGTTAAGAGTAGGAAATAGTCATTGACGCAATAAATATCTTTTATGCATTCTAGAGCGGAAAATCAGTATTTATTATTGCAGAGCTTCGATGTTGGTGCCGCAGAATATTCTTGAACAACAGGATAATATTGGCGTAGTAAAAATAGCTCTTGAAAGACAAATTTAGCCTCGGTGCTGTAAATTTTGCTACAGTTATCATAGGGTGTAGCGGTAGAAGAAGAGGAAAGCGATATTTAAAAAATGGTTTCAACTATCGTACAACCTTAAATTGATATAACGTGACTTAAATCAGGGAAATTGTGCATTTTAAACTATAAAATTGAAATGAATCCAATTTAATTACTCCAAAGAAGAGAAAATGGATGTTTCAATTAAATGGATCGTTCCAATCACTATTAAACCTTATATTGATATAATCTCACTTAAGTAAGAGAAAATAGATATTTTAAACCATGAAACTGAATTGCGTAGAATTTAATTACTCCAAGAAGAGAAAATAGATATTCAAAGCAATCGTTTTAATCATCATGAACCCTTAAAGTGATATAACCTGCCTTAAGTAAGAGAAATTAAACATTTCAACCCATGAAATTGAATTGAATTGAATTGAATTACTTGAAGAAAGAAAATGAATATTTAAAAGAATTGTTTAAAACGCCATCAAATCTTATATCGACATAAATTGACTCATGTAAATAAGAAGAAACGAACATTTTAAACAGTGAAATTGAATTAAATTATTTTCTCATTTGATGTTAGTCGAAACGTTCTCTCATAGAGGGGATAATGGACAATTTTCGTTATGAATTCTATTTGAGTTATTATAATATTTTATTTCATTATTCTGTAACCTACTCAAATAAGAGAATTTAAGTGTTAAAACAGCAAAGTTTGTATTTACCATCAGCTTTATGGTATGCATTGCACACAGTGATGAAAATTGGATATTTTCAACTAGCAATTTTGTTTTCGTCATATTTAAGCCTTATATTTGCCCACCATTACACTCTTCTATACGAGAACATTGAGTGATTTTGTTATTATGATAGTAGGTCCATTTTGGTGTATTTTAAAGCAATAAAAATTCATCTCATATCACAAAATTGACCACTTCATGTGATTATCGATGTTTGCGATCGTTTAATTACTCCCTAAACTACTTTATTATAGCTTTTAGTAGATGAATTTTTAACCTTACTTTATTAAGACCATACATACATACAGTCATATACAACATATTATCACTGTATTCCATAATGCATAACTAATACAATTAGGTGAAATTATTACTTAGCTATATGAGTAAAATAGTAATGATATAATTAGGAGCAGCAATATGAGGGGAACAGAAAGCAAAGTGTAGAGGTGTTTGACAAGTTTAGGGAAAAGAATAAATTGGGTGACAGTGCGCTTAAATGTAAACAGCAATTTAAAATAGTAAACATGAGTATGCTAGTAGCTGTCTAAAAATTAAGTTAATGAAAAGGAATGATGATGTTCAGAGGACAAAAGTAATGTTCTATACATCGTGAAATAACGACAAAAAACTTGGTCGCAAACAGAATAGAAAAGTATGTAATTGAATTAACAATAAAAAAACATTTTTGATACAACATGTTTACTCCCAAACCATAATTCAATGGATGTCGATCAATCTTATAAAGAAACATCTAATATGCTCTTGATTACCATTGCACAACCGAAAGTTGTAAATATTTCGTCTATTATCATCTGGATATTGGAAGGAAATTGATCTTGGGTCAATGGATTAATTAGATATAATTTTATGATGGAGTTTTGCAAATGATATCACGATAAAGAATTAGGGTAAAGCTGATTGGTAACAAAGAGCCTTTGCTATCCTCTATAATAATCTTTTATATTTATATCAAGAATATTTTTATCTGGTAATCAACAATTTACCTTAATATTTAATGCTATTTTAAGATGATACAATCAATATACTGAACATCGTGTGATTTTAATAGCGTGATTAATCTATTGAATGGGATTGCAGTTTATTACGCCAAAATTTCATCGCGTGAATTTGCAATTTGTCTATTAATCCCCAATTAGTGGTAATATTAAATAGAATTGATCGTTCTTCACGCTATTCTACATAAATTTCATACCTTAAAGGACTTGATTACCCAGTTAATTAAATTGATTCTGCCGCTAAACTTATTATAGACTATCGTGATATCGCTTACTCAATGACGTACTATAGTGTTTTTTCGAGGTCAGCTCACTTGGCTAAGAGCTGTGAAAAAGCTACTCTTTTTTTACAAGTTTGCCATAAGAGGAAAAAATAGAGGAAGATTTTTCTCTAGAGGCAATTGATATCAATATTAGATTTGGGTATTATTTATCAATACTACTGAAATTCATAATGCAAAAAGATTCATTTCATATCTTCAATAATGATTCTAACAGCATCCATCTAGACGTTAAACTATTGGAGATCATGAACATGATCATGACTCATCATAATCGTTTAAACTCAATGTTCCAAGAATTGAATTTGAAGCTTGGAATAACTTATTACAAATTATATCATAGTGACTGTCTCGATTACTGGTTCTATCCGGGTAGGATAAAGTAGAGTGTAATTTTCTGCCTTGATTATAAATTAAATTACCATTTGGGGATAATTGTCAGTACTAATAGGATATTATGATCATAGAACTGCAACAACATTGACTACTAGAGCTGTAGGATCGGATATCGATTTATATCCTAATATCGATAATAAACGACTATGCGATTTTAATAAACCTTAGTTGACATAGGCAGAGTAAATTGTTAAACTTAATAACAAATTTAAGAGTATACATACAAGTGCAGAAAATATTTACTGTTGTAGCTACTGGGCAAGAAATCAATTTTTATTCTAGTAGAGACGATCAATCGTTAAAGTACATTCAGACATAGCCCAGTTATATGATATTGGCTTGTATGGAATTGGGGCCGACATTGATGAAATCTGATACTCAAGTTTGCTAGAATGTTATATTAAGTAATACTAGAATTATTAGGTAAGATGTTAATTTTGTTATAGAAGAGATGATTCATCGATATAATAAGAAATAGGTAAATTAAATGCTGGTATATTGGAGGAGATGGATATTGATATTAATGGAATGATGTATGAAAATTGATCGCAAGTTATGTGACTATAGAAATATTTACTATTATTATGGTTGCTTAAGATGTTAATTTATTTTCAAGTACAGATAATAAATCATAGTACTACGATATAAAACACTCCTATTTACTTGATGACAATTTGATGTTATTATCTGAAGAATTAGATATGAGAATCGATAGCTAGTTGTATACATATTTGACTACAGCGACCAATGCTGCCATCACAATCGAGTAAGAAGCTACTTAATGTCTTTATATAAAGATAATTAAAGTAGGCCCAAATTAGCTTAATATTAAAAATTGGTCGTTGTAAGACTAACCTGATTTATATGCAATAGAAGTATACAAGATGCCAGTTCTTGTTTTATTATTTTGAAATCCTTTATCATATTGGATCAGGTACAGCAGATTTGTCAGTGTAATGGTAAGTCAAGATATTAATGGATGTTTTACTAGAGAGACGCTAATCATTTTCATTTTATTGCGATATAAAGTGGATCTGTTGGCTGAATTGAAGTTTTACGTGCACATTTTGCGGTCATGGATAAAGAAATGATAGCCAGTTGTACAGATTTA